ATGGGTGCAGACCTGTTGAGGGTGGTTGTCAGCAGCAACTCCACCACCAGCAGAGCAGCCACTGGAGGTGGATCTAGAGAGAGAGAATGAAATGGGGCTTTGAGTCTCTTCCAGTCGTGTCACCCCATGCGGACACGTACACAGTGAGACTGATGTTGAATGCTAGGTGGGACAGCTGGGCTTTCAGAAAGTCTCTCTGGCTGGCTACCTGCTACAAAACAGGTCCAGCAATGGTGGGAAGGTGTGTTGGCAATGGGAGGGGCTGAGAAGCCCCTAGATTGGACCCAGATCACTCCCAAACCCATGCTGGTCTCCACTACCCAACCCAAAAGTATACCCGCTTTCATACCAACCTTCACCGATGTGGTGCAGTTTCCCCCTCCTTTTCTTGTGCAAGTGGTGTCAAGCCCCACAGCTGACAGAAGGGGGTCCTACAGACAAGTAAACATACAGGAGAGAATGGGGTCTGAGTACTTGGTAGATAGGCAGGCACTCTGGTCCCTGTGACAAATCTCTCTCTTCCCATTCAAAGGTTCAATGTGTCTATTGTTTCCTGTCTCCTGGTCCCTGCTCTCAGGTCTTTTCTGAGTCACAACCCAGCCTACATCTATCTCCTGTCTCCTGCAACAAATAAAAAGGATGCTGGCATTGTGCAAACCCAGCAGAGTAGAAGTAGGTCTGCACCCACTGGGCTCAAAGCCACCTGCCATGCTCACTCTCTCCAATTGTCCCCTGCATTGCTCCCTCCCCCTCTTCACCAACCTCCAGAGGTGTGAGCCAGACTCCTCTCTCTTGCCTTTCTTGCAGAACTGACCAGCCTTGAAGCAGGCCTATGGACAAACAGATGAAAAGGTAAGACAGTCAGGAAATGAGGGGTGGCAGACCAACACCAAGGATAAGAGTCCTCATATTATTAATATCTGTCTTTCAACATTCGGGGTTTTGCTGGTGGAATATTCTCGTTTCTTTTAGGCCCTACTTCAAGGTTCCAGAGATAACAACTCCTTCTCTTGACGTCATACTCTTCCCATTACTCCCTTCTCCAATTCTGAGGATTCACCACTAGGTGCGCCACATCCCCTGGGCTCTGCGCAGCATAAAATGGGGGAAGGGCGCCGCATATTCTAGAAAACAGGTTGTGAATTGGTACTTGTCAATATGTCTCCCTCATCACCCCCACCTCCAAAGCCCACCCTTTCATGCCCCCAGATTAGGACGGTGGAGGAGGCAGGTGGGGATGGAAGGTGGGGGAAGCGCCTGGAAGGCCTTTAAGAGAAGGAAAGATTAGGAGGTGCTCCTGGATGCCTGACCTGCTCTGGTTGCAGTCCCCCACCCCGATTCTGGTCCCCATTAAATGTTTGGCACCCACCCCCCACCCCCACACAACTCTGGAAATCCAGGCTGTATTTCTCCTCCTGCTTTATCTCAAGCCTCTCCTCTACAGATGCTCAGTGTGGCCTGTCAGAATGCGCAAGACCTACCGCGCAGACAGAACACTTTGACATCAACCTGGAGCCTGTGGGACGGCACCCAGGACAGGGGCCCCACAGGTCCCTTTCCGGAATCAGGGTCCGGAGTAGGGAACGTGGCCCACCTCCCGCGGGCTGGGCACAGAGCTGGGATGCCCCCCAACGGCCTCCCTGGGCGAACCCCACAAGGGCTCCCGCTCCGCCATTTCTCCTGCAGGAGCCTACCCCCAGCCCTCTCTGGGCACAGACACCGTCGAGGGCGGGGCGCGGGCGCCTGCAAAGCTGGCTGGGAAGCGGTCAGCGCGGTTCTCCTCCGGAGGATCCGACTCCGGAGGATCTGACGGTGCTTCCCGAGTCAGCCCCTCAGCCCTTGGCCCAGCCCGGCCTGGCCAGCACCAGTCACCGCCTCCTCATCGCCAGGGGTCTCCGGCATTGCGCACCTCTCTCCAGCGCCTGGCTCCGACCGGATCGTCTCCTCGTTGCCAGGCTGACAGGGTCCGCGGAGCAGGCTGCCAGCCGGGACACCCTGGCAGACCACCCCCCGCACCCTGGTCCCCTACTCACGCACCCCCACTTGCCTTCAGAGGCCCAGGGCCCAGGTCGTCAGCCTCCCCCTCCTCTCCTCAGCTCTCCTTTGGCGGCTCCTCACTTGGATTCCCACCGCTTTCCCCGCGTTCCGAATGGCAAAGAGGCGTCCCGCCCCCCACGCCTCTGCAGCAAAGTAGGCAGGGGCTGCGCAGGATGCGGCAAGAACAGCTCGCCGCAAGGGTGTGGGGAAAGGGGGGCGGAGGGATACGGCGCGAAAGCGCTCGACGCCCCCTCCCAGGCCCACCGTAGTTCCGTAGTTCCGACCCAGAGGTGGGCGGGGCCACCACGAGCCCCAGCCTGGATGTGCGTGTTGACACCAGGCTGCGTCAGGAGGCCCTCGCAGACCCTAAAACGTGGCGACCACCACCATATTTCTGGCGCTGCTACAATATGTGGGACCAGCGGGCGGCTGGGGACCAGGGCGGGGGACAGGATCGGGAGGTCGGGAAGAGCCGCACTGGAGGGAGCAGCGGATGGATACCAAGCCGCCCCTTGGTGTGTCTGCACCCCCTCCCAACCCTCCCCCGACAAGGACTGCTGGGTGTCTGCCCCCTCCCTCTCTCCAGTCTCCTCACCCCCCTTCCTGTATGCTAATGGGAGATCGGGTGTCAGCACTGCAGTCTGGGAGGGGAGAGGCGATTTCAGGCCATATAGGCCCGGGACTCTAGGGTGGTCCTGAGCGTTTCTTTCCCTGCCTGATATAGCCAGGCAGGGGATGAAGGTACACCTGCTCTTAAGTGAACTGCAGGGCAAGGGGCTCCCATCAGGCTCTCACCACTGCTCCTTGCGTAAAAGAAGGCACAGCTAGACCTCTAACCCTAGGAAATCAACCACTGGTCTGCACCAGACCCATTTCTTTATGCGACACCACTTTTTCTCATTTCAAATGTTGGCTCACGTTGGCATTATGCCATCCCCACAGTTACCCCCAAAAGAGGGCCTTTCCCTGTCAGGACCCACAGGAGGTCGTAACAGTCCTCCCTCTTTGATGGTACCAGGTAGGGAAGATCCTGGCTCCTCGTCGGTCCCCTGTCAAGTCTTCTCTTGCCATCCATGACATTTGGCAGTGTAGAAATGTGGCTGGTATTCGAACCAGCTTGGATCTCAGCCACCTGCCATAACCACCTGCTACTTCAGCAGTCATTCTCAGGACAGGATCCTGAGAATGAACTCCCCTCCCCTCACCATGGCTGCTTTTGAAGCCTCTCCTTTCACCCCTACATCCATCCTTTACTCTTGAGCCC